TTTTTTAGAGACAAGGTCTCACCATGTTGCCTAGGCTGGTCTCAAAATCCTGAGCTCCAGTGATCCTCCTGCCTCAGTCTCTCAAAGTGCTAGGATTACAAGTATAAGCTACCACACCCAGGCTTAATTTTTTCATTTAAATTCTTGCTGCCATCTGTATCTTCAACCCCCATCTACAAGGATCAGCTTAGTTGCTAACTTTTCTTCACTTCCTTTCTCCCCCTGAACCTGATCCCATCATCATCTTCCTTTCCCAGGACCCTGCCTCTATTTTCCTCATTCAGGTCTGCTCTCCGACCTTTCCTCCCTCCTGATTCCGTCCTAGTTCAATTTCAGTTCTACTCTGGTATTCATGTCCTAGGAACTCATAGAACCAAAGAAATTCATCCTTCCCATCTGTGCTTTCCAAAAGGATAGGGGGCAGCTCACATGGGTAAGGGCTCCTGAGAAGCAGGTGTGGGCAGCTGCAACATCCCCTTTTTTCCAGTACACCTCACCCAGCTGGTTCCAGGCTTCCACCAGCTTGGGCTCCAGCTTCACAGCCTTTGACAGAAGCTCCTCAGCCTTAGGGCTATAGTCAGGAGTCACATTTAGTGCTTTCCCAGTTAGCATCAGAACTTGCGCCTTGCCCTGGACAGAACCTAAGAGGAAGAAAAAAAGATAAAGTGGGAAAAAAACAAGCAATCTTACAGTTAAAGACCAGGGCACTTTCTCTCAAAAAATAACTCCATGTCAGTTTTAGGAATAAAAAGAGTTGAGGAAAATATTTATCAACAAACCATTTATTGAAAGCTCACCATAAGCAGAGTGCTATATTAGCTAATTGGGCAACAAAGAAAGCACTATTTCTAGAGCTTCTGCCATCTGTTTTTTGGGCCCCTATCTACAAGGATCAGCTCGGTTGCTAATTTTCCTAGAGGGATTTACAATCTAGGTGAAGACAAAGCATAAACATGGAAAATTAAAACCACGAAAAAGAGCATACAGCATTAGCCCAGTGAATGGGCTTTAACAAGTCAAGAGGAGTCAGGACAAATAGCTATCATTAAAACAAAAGACAGACAGAAAGAAAAGACCCTCCAGATTAGAAAATGACATAAACAAAGACACAGAATCAAAAGTACATGTGGCCATGTTCAAGGGAGAATAAATGGTTCAACCTGGATGAAACAGAAAGTTCCTCTACAAGTAATTAGTCAGCGATCAGGTTAGAAAACAGAGTAAAACAATGGACACTTAAATACCAGGTTAAGGGGTTTACACTTCAGCGAGTCAAAAGGCAGACAAGAGGATCAGGTTAAATGCATGAAGTAATGATTTAGGAAGATGACCATGGCCATCGTGTTATATAAGTGGATTTGAAAGTAAAAGAAATTAGAGGCAGAAAGTCAAATTACTGCAATAGTTCCAGTAAGTATGCTCTTTCATTTCATGCCATTTGCTATAATCAAATTTTAGAAAAAGTAGCTTAGGGAATGAAAGGTTGCACAGGGGCCCTGAGAAGTAATATTACATTGTACTACCCTATAGCAGTAACAGATAGGATACCAAAGAATCTACGAGGAAGGAGTAAAGGTCGATCACATTTCACTGAAGGATGGGGGGTTGCACAGTCTCTAGGACTCATACCCACTACTTCTTCCATCTGCTGTAGGGTCTTCTCCATCTCCTTCCGCACATCCTGTTGCTTCCTCCCAGCATCCTCAACACTATGTGTCTCAAAATAGCAGTCTCGAAATGAATAGAGCTGATCCACTAGTTCCTAAAAAGTAATGACAATGGAACCATTAAGTGGAGAGAGCACTGGACAGGGAAACTTGAAATTGGCTAGCCATACCGTCTCTTGGTCTAGAAAGACCAATTCTCTTATCTCACCTAGGAATGGCACAATAGGCAAGTGGACAGGTTTACTAAAATGCCACAAATCATGAGGAAAAGCAGCCAGTACCCCAGGCCAGCTCTCATGGTCCCATGTTGTCCCATGCCAGTGTCTGTACTGTGATGACTGTTTTCTCTCCCTGCCCCAGCAGGGCTTCTAATATGACTAAACACTTCACATACCACAGTCATGAGGAGGGAAACATTGCAACTTAAGATAAACCAAAAGTTAGTAAGATCATTCTATATGGTCCTGGTCCTCAAAGAATAACACTTTGAAATTTACCCTTAAAGTTGGACTTCTCAACTAAAACCATTTTATTGCTGATTTTTCATATGCTGATATCTGAAAATACAATACAACCTTTGTGAATATAATAAACATGTTAGAGAGTCATTGTTTTCCACCACAAACATACCAATTTGAACTTGGTAACTTTGGTATTTTTGCAGCATTTTGTTATTTTAAATGCTTATTGTGGTTTTGTTTAGTTCGAATTTTTTGTCAAGTCATCTTCCGGGTGTCTTGGATTTTTTACAAGTAAATATTCTCTTTCCTCTTAAATGCCTCTGAGTCTTCCTGTCAGATGAGGCAAAGCTTTTCCACTACAGGTCAAGCATCCCTAATCCAAAAATCTGAAATCCTCCAAAATCCAAAACTTTTGAAATGCTGACACCACAAGTAGAATATTCCACACTTGACACACAGTCAAAATGCAGTCAAAGCATTGTTTCAGGCACAAAATTATTAAAAATATTGAATCAAATTAGTTTCAGCCTATGTGTATAAAGTGTAAATGAAACCATTTTTTTTTTCTTTTTTAAAAGATAGGGTCACCAGGCACGGTGGTTCACGCCTGTAATGCCAGCACTTTGGTAGGCCGAGGCAGACGGATCACGAAGAGATCGAAACCATCCTGGTCAACATGGTGAAACCCAGTCTCTACTAAAAATGCAAAAATTAGCCAGGCATGGTGGCGCACACCTGTAGTCCCACCTACTTGGGAGGCTAAGGCAGGAGAATCGCTTGAATCTGGGAGGCAGAGGCTGCAGTGAGCCAAGATCGCGCCACTGCACTCCAGCCTGGCAACAGAGTCTCAAAAAAAAAAAGAGACAGCCTCGTAGGTTACCCAGGCTGGTCTCAAACTCCTGATTTCAAGCAATCCCCCCACCTCAGCCTTCCAAAATGCTAGAACTACAGGCATAAGTCACCAAGTTTCATATTTAGATTTGGGTCCCATCCCCAAGGTATCTCATTATGTATATGCAGATATTCCAAAATGCAAAAAGATCTGAAATCCCAAAAACTTCTAATCCTAAGTATTTTGGACAAGAGATACCCTATTCTTTCCTGAAACTGAACAGATGGCAGCAGAAATATATAATCACTTCCCATTGAGTCTAATCAACGGTCTTCACAACATATCCTGAATCCATCCACCTGACTCCATCCCACTATGACCACTCCTGGATTACATCAGCTTCATTACTTGCCCAGAATGCAAGAACTTCTTAACCAGTCATCTGGTTTCTGTTCTCTCTCATTCTCCTCACTGTAGTGGGAGTGATCTTATAAAAAATGTACATCGTATCACAAACCTTCAAATAGTTTCCCATTGCAGACAGAATAAAATCCAAGTCCTTATCATGGCCTAGAAGACTGTATGAGCTGACCCAGCACCACCCATCCTGACACAAACTTCACTTCTCAGCACTCTCTCTCCTACGATACTCAAGCCAGAGTGGCCTTCATGCAGTTTCTCAAACCCATCAAGCTCAGCCCACCCGGAAGCCCTTACACATGCTTTTCCTTATGCCTGGACACTTTCTCCAGATCTCTGCATAACTTATTCCTCATCATCATTTAGATCTTAGATCAAATATCAATTCCAGAGAGGTTTTCCCTAATTACTCAAACCAAATGAATATCTTCCTTCTGTCGTCTACTGTTAAATCATACTCTTATTTTTCTTCATACTTATTTAAAATCACGTGGCCTATCATTAATTGTCTATTGTCTGCCTCTATCACTGAAATGTAACCTCCAGGATGGAAAGGACTTTATTCTGTTTTGTTTTGAGCTACACCTGAGCACCAGAACAGGACTTGGGACATAATAGGCTCTCATTCACTATACTTAATTGAATTAACTAACTAACTACCCCTGTTCTAACAAATACATATGTGCTATACTTAATTTAAAATCCTATCCAGAATGAAGAGAACAGACTAGCACCCTCTGCAGTAATGCTTTTCAAATTTTATTGTAGTATATCCAAGACCCAGCCTGCAGAGACTCTGATTTTAACAGTTTAGCAGAACTCAAAATTCTACATTTTTAACAGGCACCCCAGATGATTGTAATGAAACTGTAAAACACACTTTGAGAAATATCCTTTTATACATTCCTTTTACACTAAAATGTCTATAACAATGAAATCAAAGTTTACCACCATCTCCATGAACAGCAACACCATTATCTAATCCTTTTCCTCTTCTCTACTTCACTCCTTTATTCCATTCCTGCACCGACCCCACCCCAACATAACCAAAGTATCCTCTCCCAAGCTGCTTAGGACATTTACCACAAATGAACCTAGGAAAAGACAATTCTCATAAAAAATTACAACCAATTTCCTTTTGTCCTGAAATCAACATGGCTGCAAATTAAGAGTTTTAGAGGGGGGCTTAATGATTGGTTTTAGTTGTTAAAGCAAACATTCAAGAACTTGTTTGGTTTTATTGTTTGGTTTTGTTTTCCTCTGGACTGAATGTTTTTAGAAACTTATTTTCTCATGGCAAAATCAATACATGTAAGTTGTTAAAATTCAAATAGATACATGTAAAAAACAGAAAGTAAAAAATTCCCCCAAACAACCTCAGTGATAACCACTGATTTGTATACCTTTTCAGATTCTTTTCTGTACATATACAAACGTATATACACCAATAATGTTTCTAATATAGAACCAGAATTGATTCTCTGATTTCAGTCAGTCACAATTAGGGAATAAAATGAAGTTAATCCAAATCAGTTGGAACACTAAAAAGTGTTAGTTACTATTTTAATCTACTCAAGAACAAAGAAATTTCACCAATATTTAAATTTGTGCGTTAAACACCTTTAGGCAAGTTACAAGCCTGTCATAGTTCTAATATTTAAGTTACAGGCTGTCTTAGAACGAAGAACTGAGTTCCTGAGGTTTAAGGAAAATCGTGGGGCCTTAAAGGCAAAGAGCCAAGCAATTAGTTAACGCCTCCCTACCAAGCCCAAAAGCCTAGTCTTACTCAGAAGCACAGTCATCTGTCGACTACGTGGAGTCTGGACCCCTCTGCATCAGACCCCAAAGTGGAACTACACATGTTGAAAGAAATCAAAACTGAAATCCTAAGGGGAGTAACCAGGACACTTGCAGTGCAGGTCATCAGTGTGATTGTTGCCAAATTCAAAGCACAAAGGTGTTAAATGGCTTTTGTAGGGATCAAAACATGTGATAATAGTTCATGCAGATCTGCCATACACATGTATATGCTATTCGTTATGGATGAATCGAGAAAACAACGTCCTCTCTAAAAATGTACATGAATAGTTAGGAGCAACAAATCCTCTTCCATACAGGACTGAAATTAACCGCAGTCAGGTAGACAGCAGGAGGTTCCAACACACTGGGAGGCTCCCTCGCTGGCTGCGGCTGCACCCTCGAGGGTTGTTATAGTAACCGCACAGACGCACGCAGCTTCGCGTGTGTGCCGGGGAATTCGCGGGCACTACATAAACTGGACTCCCTGCTTCATTCGGAGTAACAAAAACACATACAGATTTTAATCTAAGGCCCCACCTGCAATTTCTGCAAGATCGGCTTGACTTCTTCCTCTTCATCAGCCATCATCTCCCGGCCACTCCACCCCCAACTTTATAACCACAGAGACGCACGCCCTCTCTCATCGCGGAACCACAGCGACACCTGGCGCTCTGGAGGCTTTTCTGCCCACGAAGGGCTTTGCTTCAAACCAACTTAACTATTTCCTACAGCACATAGATGCTCTGCAATCACTTTTGAGTTCATAAACTTGTTTCTTTCCCAGATCCTGGAAACAAAATGTCCTCAGCTTAATTTCTATATTCTTGTTTCATATCTTCCTACTTATTTATACTAAGATTATAATACTCCATGAAGAAGAGAGTTTAAGAAGTGCACACCTGTGTTGTTTGAAATTTTTAAAGCCATGTAGTACAATGGCTACTTGACTCAATCTTTTCCAAACTTTGCAATAACTTTCTATGTATGATTAATTTTATCATTTTAATGCACTATCCTAATAAATACTACACTTGGGATGGCTCATAAAAACCACCATGCTGTACACTAATAATGCCTCCATATTTATAGACAACATCCAGAAGGATATATAAGAAACAATGTCTGCAGAGGGAACAGAAACTGGGGAGCTGTGGGTAAGCGAAGAAAATTTTCACTGCCTGCGCTTTTGAATTTTCTTGCCATCTATATGTATCACCTATTCAAATATAAACATAATTTTTAAATAAAAAATTATTTGCTTCTACATAGTCTCTGGAAGGACACAAGACACTGGCAACACTATTGCTTACAAAGAGCAGAAGTGAGCGGCTGGAGCAAAAATGAGTGACTAGGGATAGACTTTTCACTCTATGCCTTTTTTGTAACTTTCAAGTTTGTACCTTGTGAATATATTAAACTTGTGAATAAATCTTTTAAAGTGTCATGTAATATTCCTGACAGTTTTGCTTTACTTTTTTAGTTTTAATTACAGCTTCAAGTTGATTCTGTGAACCTAACAAAGAAGCAAAACGTTCAAGGCAGAAATCATGAATATACATAAAATCATTTTCTCAAATCATTTTCCAACATAAAGGAAATAGTTTGTATTGTAACCTATAAAATCTATGTCATTAGCTATAAAATAGGGAGGGATGTTTTAAAACATTTTTTTTGAGACACAGTGAGAAAAAAGTCTCACTGTGTAGCCCACGCTGGAGGGCAATGGCACGATCTCAGTTCACTGCAACCTCTGCCTCCGAGTTCAAGCGATTCTCCTGCCTCAGCCTCCAGAGTAGCTGGGACTACAGTGGGACTACAGGCACATGCCACCACGCCTGGCTAATTTTTTGTGTGTATTTTTAGTAGAGATGGGGTTTCACCGTGTTAGCCAGGATGGTCTCGATCTCCTGATCAAGTGATCCACCAGCCTCGGCCTCCAGCCTCGGCCTCCCGAAGAGCTAGGATTACAGGCGTGAGCCACCACACCCAGCCCTAAAACTGTCAAATTTTTCATCCTCTTTCTCAGACATTTTAACTTTGGTGCACATGCGGCTGGGCTCAGTGGCTCACACCTGTAATCCCAGCACTTTGGGAGGCCAAGGCGGGCGGATCACTTGAGGTCAGGAGTTCAAGACCAGGCTGGCCAATGTGGTGAAACCCTGTCTCTACTAAAGATACAAAAATTAGCCAGGTGTGGTGGCGTGCACCTGCAATTCCAGCTATTTGGGAGGCCAAGGCAGAGTCACTTGAACCCAGGAGGCGGAGGTTGCAGTGGGCCAAGATGCTGCCACTGCACTCCAGCCTGGGCGACACAGCAAGACTCCATCTCAAAAAAACAGTAATAAATAACTTTGGTGCACACTAAGAATAATTTTTAAGAGATTTTATACTCTATATTCCTATTGAAGGAAACACTACTTGCTTTTCAATTATGTAAAGCAGGGGTATTTAATTGCCTTTCTACAATGACTAAACATAAACTATCTTCAAATGATTTCAGTATATTTTTATTACCTAAAAAACAATGGGATTTGGCATTTAGGGTAATTCCACTGTTAACAAATCCTAAACCATTAAGAATCAATCCTAAAATTTAAGAGTTAGAAAAGGCTGTAAGGATAACTTAATTCAATCCTTCATTCTACAAAGTCCAAGAAAGTTTAAACTAAGTAGAAACCAGAATCCAGATCTTCTGCCTCCCCAGCCAGTATGCTTTCAAGTCTTTCCTCTAGTAAGATATAAAGTTACTGAGAAGTCCTTCAAAATTTCTATCATGGCTGTACATTTTAAATAAATATATGCGTAATTAAACAGAATTTAATTTCCATAATAATAGTCAGAAATGCTCACTAAAGGACAACAATGAATAAATCTTGTAAATTATTTTAATACAGTCTCTTGAGATCAATAACACATTGGTAAACTTTCTGCAGAAGTGCATTCCTAAATAAGTAAACCCAAGGCAACAGCTGACAAAAAGGTAAAGAAGTAGCTTTATTTTAAAATACAGTCTTCCTTTTAGTATCTTTGGGGGATTGGTTCCAGGAACCCTCATGGATACCAAAATCCTTGGATGCTCATGTCACTTTTATAAAATGGCATGGTATTTGCATATAACCTACAGATTCTCCCAAATACTTCAAATCACCTCTAAATGATTTATAATACCTACAATGTAAATGCTATCCAAATAATTATACAGTATTTTTAATTTGTATTTTTTATTGTTATATTATTAATTTTTTCTCAAATATTTTTGATATATGGTTGGCTGAATCTGCAGAAGCAGAACCTGTGGATACAGAGGGCCAACTGTAAACACCAAAAAAATTAACTTTAAAAAATAACTATCAATGTGAGTTATTTTAAATACAAATAGGGACTGAACATACATGCATCAAATTGTACTCTCGTTCACTGACATAAGCACACCTCCAAACAAGTTAACATGAAGGTAAATACATAAATATATACAAATAAATACACATACCCAAATAACAAGCCACACATCACCCACCATTTTCCAAGACCAAAATTTTCACATAAACATACTGACAAATACAGCAAAATATCAGTGTACATTAACATACTTACATATACAGATATGCATAAATACCAGAATTCAAAGCGACATGTAGCATATAACACAGGTACTTAAGGCATAAACAACACAGCTCAGTCAGAAACAGCCAGGGGAGAAACAGTTATCTATTGAAACAAATACTATTGTGACCTTCCCACCAGGGATGAAAATTCAGCAGTTCACAGTGGAATTTAGATTAATAAAATGCTTATGCTTTAAATAATAGAAACAAAGAAACCAGACTCTAAACCACTCCCCACTGCCAATGAGTTTGTTATATCGATAATGTGAAGACAACTTCAGAGATTTAAAAGCACAGGGAAGCTGAGGAGTCCTAACTAGGAAAAAGATTTGCTAAATGAAATCACTAAAGAGGAACATAGAAACATTCTGCAAAGTTAGCTAAATTATCTTTATTTTTTTAGAAACAGGGTCTCACTCTGTTGCCCAAGCTGGAGTGCAGTGGCATGATCTTAGATCACTATAGCCTCAGACTCCTGGGCTCAAGGGATCCTCCCAGCCTCAACCTCCTAAGTAGCTGGGATCACAGGTGTGTGACACCATGCGTGGCTCAAATTCTTTTTACTTTGAAGGCCCTGCTAGAAACTTGCTGCTGCTCTAATTCACGACTTGGAGAGGCAAAACTAAAAAAGCTGTTGCTGGGTTCAGGTGCTGTGGGAGAACCCACAAAAAATGGTTTGAACTGAAAATCTCCATCTCCATCGCCCCGATTTCGAACAGGTGTATTATCCAAAGGAAACCTGGAGTTGTTACCTAGTGGGGAAAAAAAGGGAAAAACATAATTTTATTCATTTGTTATCTACATAATCTACTTCAGAGGAATCATCATATATATATATATATGAATATATTTTTTTTCCTCCAGTATTTGTCTTAGAAAAAAACAGACATATAAAATCTTTTGCCCCAGGTTAAGAATAATCTTTTTAAAAAACATTGCAATAAACGTTCTAGAAAAAATATAACGATGAAATATTGGCATATACCATGACCCAATATCAATTAGCATAGGATTAAGACAAAGCAGATAATAGATCTGATTAAATGAACATTTAAATACTTCCACTGAACCCTTCCTTGGCTTTTACAGGTTTTAAAGGATCAAATAACTAAAGGAAAATGCTGACTATATATCCTTCAAGCTAACAGTGGTAGCAGGAGATAAAGAGGTTAACTGTGTACAAAAAAAGGAATGGGAAAGAACTGGTAAATATGAAAAAAATAAGACAAGTGGACAGTGACAAGAAAAAAATATCTATAATGCCATTTACAGTAATTCTGACTAAATTACATTATGTAAGTAAAACTGAAAGTTAAGCAGATATTTAGGTTTTTATTCTTATATCTGATATTCCTCATCTCATCATCTCATACCTGCTCCCCACCTTTTTTTTGTAGAGACAGGGTCTCACTATATTGCCCAGGCTGGTCTCAAACTCCTGGGCTCAAGTGATTCTCCCACCTCAACCTCCCAAAGCGCTGGGCTGCACCTGACCACCTCACAATTTTTCTAAGACATCATCTCCTCCCCTATTAAATCTTCTTCCTCAGCCTATAGTAAATATCCAAAAATGAGTATTAGGATAGTCCAGCACAAGAAGCTTCACTTTTTTGTATGCCAAAAACAATCTCCATTAATAGTATAGCAAAAACCTATTGGATTTTGTTGCATAAATAGTATAAAGGAGAGAGCGCAGGAAGATATGAGATTAATTTCATCTGCAAGGCACCTAACAAGCAGACAAGAGATGGAATCATGCTAGATTGTGATTTCCAGAAAGAAAGAATCCTATTTGGATAATCTTTATATCTTCATTAGTTAGGATCATACCTAACAACCTGGTACATAAAACATATTAGATAAATATTCGATAAATGGAAAAAATGATTAAACAAAAGAACAAAACAACCAAACTGACAACTTAAGAACTGTACAATCAGTATTGGCAGGTGAAAAAAATCGAAACATGGCCTTCTTGGAGGATAGCAAATGGTTAAGAGTATAGGCTCTGAAAACAGGTTAGTGATATTGACCAAATTACTTAACTTTCTGTGCCTCAGCTTTCTCATCTGTATAAAAGGATAATAATACTTACTTCATAAAGTTTTGTAAATTATATGAATTTATATAAAACACTTAAAACAGTACCTAGCACTTAGGAATCAATAAATGACAGTTAATATTATTATCACTACAACTACGTAGCTTTTAATTTAACGCAGCAATTTGCAAACTTTCATTTTGCAGAGATTAACTCTGCTCAAATTAAAGCTTTAATTTAAATGTAAGCAAATACAATAGATAAAAGCAATGATGTACAGGTTGAAACATGGGTGAAGAATTCATAGCCTACCACAACTCAAGACCCTTATCATCTCCACTGAATGCTTGGAAGTGGGCAGAGCAGTATAAAAAATCATTGATTTAAAGAACAGACACTGGATATCACATGTCCTTTCTTACCTAAGGGGAAGCCAAAAACACCAGACTGTGCAATCATGGATGGTTCAAGGGTGCCTTCATGGTTAGCAATAGTGATGTTTCGTAACCTAAGGCTATCATAGAGGCCTTGGAGCTTTTGATACTGACGATTGCGCTCCATAAGTTTCTCAGAGATGTCACTGAACTTTTTCTTGTATTCTTCTAGTACTTTCTTCATGGAGGTGACCTCCCCTTTCATAGAGGTCAATTCTACATCCTTGCTTTGTATTTGCTGAGTATATATCTTCTCCATCTGTTTCAGATGGCCCTCAGCCTTGCTGAAATTGTATTCTTGATAAAGACGTTCCTGATGTACCTGGTTCCAAAAGAAAAAAGATTTTTAAGGTATGGGGTACAAAGTTATACATTGTAAAATATTATACAAACACAAAAGGAAAAGAAAGATGCTTATATAGGGATGTTATTTTAACATTTAGAACCCAGTT